AAACGACTTCAAGTAGCTGGCAAACGAATTATTATATCAATTTGTGATAATGATAATATAGCAAATTATTGTTTTAAACTTCATCGTATTTCTTAGTATTAGTAATAAACCTTTTTTTTTTAAATAAATTTTATCTTGAGAATGAAAAACAAAATATTTTTATTTAAAAAAGAAAGAGATTGTTTAAATAAAAACAATGAATATATATAATATTTTTACAATTAACTAATTCCAACCTTGATCAAGATCAATATGATTATCGTAAACAATAAATTCTCGGACAACTTTCAATGGTGGAAACTTATATGTTGTTAAATCATTTACGACTACATCATTTGTTTTAAATGCACTTTCTTGACCATTATCAAATAAACGCATAGTAATCATATAATGATAATCATCATTGTCCAATTCTTTAAATGCATTACGTGATAAATGTAAATTATATGCTCTAAGATTTGTACATATATTTTTAAGTTTTTCATATTTTTCTTTTTTTTTATCATTTTGAATCAAGACTTTATAATGAAATTCAAAATAATTTGTTTCATGATCCCAATATAATTTCTTCTCAATATCTGTTTTAGGTACACCTTCATTTGATGCTAATGATTCAATTTTAAGACGTATAATATTAAAATCTTGAAAATATTTATAGACTTCTTCTTCAATTTGTTTAACAATCGATGGATATTCACCACAATGATATGATGATGTCATTAATTGTTGTAGTTTATAATTTTTTTGATTAGTTTCCAAATCAATAAAAATAATTTTATATTTGGTATTTTCACATACTTTTTTAAGTTTTTCAATAACTTCTTCAGTATTATGTGTACAATCAAATGTAGCATGAGCTTCAAATGTACCTTTGACAGCATTTGTTGGTACAAGTAAATCTAATTTTGATTTGTATTCAGTACTTTTCTTAGCAATAAAATCAAGTACACTAAAAATAAGAATATATAGAAAGATATGAAGATGAATTTTATTATTTACTTGTCTCGATTTGAATCATCTGTTGGATCACCACGTATTGTTTTCATTTCATCTAATATATATGATACTCGTTTAAAATCATGTATGGATTTTGTTTGAATTAATTGTTCAGCAAAATCTAAGTATCGAAAGCCATGAAATAAGTTTTTGAATAGATAATCTCGACTTGATTGACTAGTTTCATCCATTGTTGAACTACGTTGTGGATAGATTGAATCATCTTCGAGATTATACATTCTTCTAGCTGTAAAATTTTCATAAAATGCAACTAATTTTAATCTTGATTGATTGTAATATTTT